GTTCTGCTTTTGAGGAAAATCACGCGGGGTGCAGACATAGAATAAAAACACACAATAAACCTGTTACGTAATCGATAGAAAATTCAAAATGACATAAGAGAAATATGAAAAATAAATTAAAGGAGTAAAAGACCCTTAGTAGGGAACTTCACAATATCGCAAGAACTAGTTCCTTTCCCATGGAACAATTTATTGTTACTTCAAGCAATTTACGGACACAACATTAACATGTGTTGTCTGCTGTTCTTCCAGACCAGATCTCTCATATACGTTATTGAGGGAGGGCACAAACCCAAGTATCGAATAGCATTGCAACATGCAATGCAGTGGAGTGTATGTCTGTAACTAATTCCATAATGGTGCAAAGAGTCATGAATTATACACTCTGGCTGTTTTTGGGCCATCAAAGTCGAACTGTGGAATGACGCGGCATCAGTAGCGACGGCATCGTCTCCTAGCACCGCTCATTAGTCCAGGATATGCCGCTGATATTCACCGTTGCTCGAAAAACTTTCAAAGTATTTGGTGGTTATTCAGGAACATGAGTGACGGAGTGACTGGGACTAGCATCCGCTAGTCGAACTCAAATGCATACCTGGATATTTTGTCAAGATCGAGTCTCTGAATTTCACAAACGATAATATCCATTAAGATGAGCACATTGTAGCAAGATGTATGCTGGTTTTAAACGACTTCTACATTTGAGATGTTATAGACTGCGACATCTGTACTCAACAAACGTTAGTGTAGCTGAGTGACATAGTTCCTACGGACCAGTCATTGCTTGAATGGCGTCCGGTCCTCTTGAAGCTTCAAAATTTAACTGTTGAGTGACAGACCGCCGTGGAGTTACATTAGTAATCGTCTTTAAATTAAGCAACTCAAAGACAGCTACCCATTCATGTACATTATTTTTGCAATATTATGAACATCACCATGCATTTTATTGTGCTTAACCCCGGAAAGACTATCAATTCTGTAGTCTAAACATTCTAATCTATATATAGTACCGAAATTAAACGTTGTCTAAAGCCATGGTAGCGGTCTTTGCCTTAAAAGCTATAAGAAAATATGGACACCTATTTTTCAATGTTAAAGTCACGTGCATTACGTATAACGTCATGTCATTTTATCCGAACCTGCCACTGACCCTTTGCATCCTGATCATTTGTGACCAGTTTCACGAAAAATCCTCCCTCTGATCCTAATAATTAATTACTAAGGTTTTCAACGTCAAAGCACTGATGGCCAGAAACAATGAGATGACCTCCAACGTTTCAGAAAGATTGTTCTTCATTGTCATTTTTATTTCAAACATACTAATATGCATTCAAGCCATACAGAAAAATGGTGGTAAAACATGCTGTAGAGTATATGACGGATGCTATCCATATCATTCCTATGTCCTTGGTCATTTTACTGTCACGGGGGGAAGGTAAGACGAAACGGCAGGATGTGAGAATGATTTGTATATACAGGATGAATGAATGAAATCAATATGCACAGAATCATTGCTATTTACTTTCCGTAAACAATATTGATCATATCCATAATTGATTTAGCAGAATTAATCCATTCTCTGAATCGTGTCCTTATGCTTTTACAGCGGATGTAAGAGAACGATATTGGAGAGCATCGTGATTACGAAACGACCAGAGAGGATTCCGGAAAGTTGTCCCAGTTATTGCTTAAACATCGGATGAATATATACATGCCAGACGCACGGGAGATTCAATGGATCATGGACAATGTCAGGAAATTTTGTGAATGGTAAAAGTTTGAGAAATCCCAACAATATCAATACTTGGCATGGCACAAGCTGGCATATTCACTGTTCTTGTGATACAACGAGGACACCGATATGGATTTCTGGATGCCAGGTCTTAGCATTTGAATGGTCAAAACAAACATCGAATGACAATGTCATTTGCATGATTGTTTGATCATCATTTAGAGCCGCTGGCGTAAACAGCACGGACGTTACTGGCTTGGGTAGTGCGTTTGTATTCTTAGCATTGAACGATTTTTATCATATGGCACTGATCACTAAATCCCAAAAAGAAATATTTCTCTCAAAAGACATTTCTGTTTCATGTCTCATTCTGTCCTCATGGTCGACTCTGAGACGTTTCTGCTCCCATGAGAAAGGCCTGTGTTGCTTATGCTTAATCCGTTTTTTTAACGGGGTCAACCTCCTTCTTAATTCCCTCATCTACAACAGGTGTGCCCTGAATAGGGCAAAGTCGTTCGTTGCTTGACGCTGCTATTTAACCTTCAGTATGCCTCGAAGCTATCGCTATTGCACGCAGTTGAATCTTCGTTCTTGGTCCTTTATTGAAACGACTGTTTTCATGTCATGCAACAACAGTGACGCTACTGAAGCATGTTCCAGGCATATAATGCTATTTAACACGACTGAAATTCGTCGTTGATTATTATTATAAGCCAAATTTCAGCTGTTAAAGATTTAACTTATATTTAAAATGAGGAACAAGTGTTAAAAATTACGATTTCACAGGTTTTGCATTAGTCCTCAAGAAAAGTCCTGACGAATTATTCGCGTTTAGATGACGCCGATACAAAACGTGAGTTTTCGAGAGGCATGGTATTTTCAGAGGCACCATGCTTATGACTTCAACCTTTGGCTGAATTTCTTTTGTTTCCCAGTAAAGGAAGCGTCCATGATTATCTCAGAGCAAAATACTAGTCAAGATATGTGGTAAATCGAGAGCCAGCGTCAAAACGAGCGATTGTTCTATCATTTTTTGTCTATAAATGACGATAAATGCATGAATAAAATTCAGGCAATATAAACTCAATAAGTGGTTTAATCTTGTTTTTTATCATGCTCTAGAAATGGCCCTAAATTGTTATAATTTAACTGAAG